TAGTTCTTTTTGGGTTTTATAAATTCTTTTGAACCTTATCACTTGTAATTCAATTACAACGAGCACTAGTTTATTTTGATGAACAATTATTGATTTGTCGATAGGATCTCTTCTAGACAAGAATTATGTGTGATTTTTTCCTTGATGAACTAGGGGCGAATCATGACTATTGATAGTGCAAATACACATGCAAAAGCATTCATTAAGTGCCAAATGCTCTCTTCGTACAAACACTACCTATTACTTCTTTTTACCCAATAAAGATATACTGGTCAATATGGAAATCCTAAAAGAAAATATGTCCATTCAAGTTTTCCACATAGGAGTCCAATGGATAGTTGAAGTTCACGTTGAAATATGATCTATTATGGTAGTATATATTGTATTTTTTATAATTCAAACGGCTATTTAATATTGATAACATAAAATTTATATTGTCTCACTTGTGGTACTAGAAGAAGATTACAAGTTGAGGATTCATCGGACAACTTTTTAACAAAAAATGTGACAGATGGTTCATTTCGATCGACCGTTTTATCCAAGTCATTAGTGATGACAATTTCAATCTAACCCGTTTTATCCAATCTGTTTGACTTGTTTTGGGCGGGTCTGACCCGCTTGTAAAAGGGGTAGGGCGGACATGGGTACTCTCATCGACTCGACCTGTTCTGACTCACTCCATTCTTGATCCGTTCTTGCCTAAATTACATGTAATCTTAGTCAAATTACTTAAGATTTCCCTTTTATTACATAATATTTTAGCTATAATAAAGTTATAAATTAGTGAAAATCTCAATTTATCCATTAATTTAACTAAATTTATCATATTATGGTTTATTTTTTTGATCTTATAATGAAAATAACTAATATTTCTAATATTTTCCACATAAATTACATACTCATTGGGTCGACCTGCCCCAATCCGCGCCCCATAATAAATTACCAGATCTAGTGATATGATCTCAAATGGTCCATTGTACACGTTTAAATTACTTTACGAAGAAGCTATCAAAGTTGGGAAGAAGAAAGGCGGAATTTGGCTAAGTCAAAATCCGTGTTCAGGGTACATATTTTGGATGCATGGTTCTCTCAATGTGCTTGGTGGAAATTCAAGTTTAAGGGTTTGTTTTGCAGATCAAGTTACCATCTTTCCAATGGTATGCTTTATGGAGCCAGATGATGTCATTAAGGTTGTTTTCCAAGGCCTCAAAGTTGCTACCTCAAAACTGGAAAACTGTCAGAAAATGGCTAAGGCAGAAAACTGTTTTGTGAAGCCTACTTTGGAGCTCAATTCAAGGAGCATGGATGGGATTCATGTCAAAAGGCTTCCACAACATAAAACTAGGTATGCTTGTGAACAAAGGGAAGGAATTGGATGAATAATTGGAGTTCGGGAAGGCCTCGAACGAAAGGCGCGAAGTTAGTACGAAGGCTGCCTTTTGACTGTTTTGCGGGCAGCTTACTTGTGCGCCAAGAAGGGAAGTTTATGGCCGAATTTTGTAACCTTTTTACAGTAGAATTTTACCTTATTTGTTTCCTTGTTCATCTAGATTTGTATTAGGTTTTCTTGGCTATAAATAGCCTTCTATTTCGTTGTAAAAAGGAAGACTTTGATTAATCGAAATTGAGAACCGTTTGGTTTGTGCAAGTTGCGACTTGTTTTGGGTTTGGTGGATTCCAAACTTGCTGAGCTTGTGTATCGATTGAATAGTCACTTCAATCGTGGTCGAGCAACTACCCTTTTATACCAATCGAGCTATCCCCAGGTGTGGATTTGTCCCTTTGGTTCCGTTTTATCCAAGTTCGTATTAAGAACGCTTCGTTCTTGATTCGAGCTCAATCGATTCTTCGATTGAGTCGTTAGCTGCGTTACTTTGATAAACATACACCCCCCAGGGGCGTATTATCTAGACCAACCTGCCACGAGGCAAGTATGAGTATCGAGATATCTGCCTCTGACCTGCTCCATTGCAATTCCTACAAGTCAGGATGACTTTCAAATCATTGTGGCAAAGTCCAACTGGTTTATATGATGAAGTTCTAGTATCGATGACGGTTTGAACTAAACATGCGAGGAAAGTGGGAAACTATTAATACCAAATGAATTGTGCATATATAATTTATCTTAAGATAATCTCCCTATAATCTACATCATATTTAACTGTTTTGTGCATTTTAGTGATAAAAAATTAATCATTTCTGTTTAACCACTGATTCTTCCGGTTTTGACCCACTTTAACTATTTTTTACAAATTTGGGCTACCGCTTCACGTAGACAGATCTTCAAATAGGTTTTTATCCAATACCTATAGAATATAATTATGCGGGTGGACATACCAGTAACAAACATTTAAAAAAACTCATAGTTACTGCCGAAGTGCAGGGGTGAGATAAATGGATTACACTTAAGCTTGATATGGAAAGAGCATATGACCGGGTTGAATGGTCATTCCTATTGATGATCATGGAACAGATGGGGTTCTGTTACGAATGGCGGCGTTGGATTAATGCTTGTATCTCCACCGTATCCTTTTTGGTCTTGATTAACGGGCATTCCCATGGATATTTCAAGCCCAACGGACTTTGCGTCAAGGTGACCCGCTCTCTCCCCTTCTCTATGCCATCTATACTGAAGCGTTTTTTTGGCTAAACTGTCAAGTGAGATCATGGCTGCGAATTTACACGGTTTACGGGTTCATCGGCATGTGCCTTTGACTTCCAATTTATTTTTTGCCAATGATACTTACCTGTTCTTGAGGACCTCCTTGTCGGAATGTGCAACTCTGCTTTCTCTGTTGGACGAGCTAGGGAGGGTTAGTGGTCAAAAAGTTAACATAGCTAAATCTTCTATGTGTGTTAGTTCTAATGTCTCTGATCGGGAGCGAGTGGCTTTGGGAGCTTTTCTTGGGGTGGCTAAGTCTAATATTCTGGACAAGTACTTAGAGCTGACAGTCCATATGCAACGGTCCAAGATGCAGACATTCAGGTTTGTGGAGAAGGGGCTAGCTACTCGGATCTGGTCGTGGAAAACTAAAGCTATGTCCTTGGCTGCAAAGGAAACGGTGATAAAATCTATTGGTTCGGCTTACTCTATATATGCAATGTCTGCTTTTCGGCTTCCATCTTTCACCTGTCGCAGGTTAAATGGCCAACTCTCTCGGGGGCTGATCAAGATAAAGAAGAGGACATGCACTGGCTTTCATGGCAGGAGGTGTGTCATAGCAAGTTTGCCGGGGGGCTAGGATTTCGCGGTTTCGAACGCTTCAACATCGCCCTCTTAGCTAGACAAGCTTGGCGGGTACTCATGAATCCGGATTCAACGTTGGCAGAATTGTACCGAGCACGATATCACCCTCACTCCACATTATTGGAGGCGAGTTCGGGTCCAAGGCTGTCATGGGCTTGGAAGGGCATCTTAGCTGGGAGGGATCTTCTTTTGCGTGGCCTCCGATGGCGGATGGGGACGGGGTGTCGGTTCAAGTACTTGCAGATTCTGGAAGTTATTATAGAGCTTACCACTCCCGCCTAAACTTAAGTTCTTTTGGTGGCGAGTGGTTCGAGGCTTCCTTCCTGTTCAGGCGGTGCTACAAATCAAGCGGATCGTGACGGGTAATACATTCCCGGTGTGTTCTGAAGGAGCTGAAACTCTTTCTTATTCCTTCCTCCACTGTCTGGTGGTTACAGAGCTGTGGGAGCTTGCAGGTTTGGGTGCCTTTAGAAGGAGACTGGTGGGTTTGTCCTTTTCGGATTGTTGGAATGCTTTATTCTTTTCTTGTCATTTGTCCAAAAATGAGATTGCTTATGTTGTTTTCCTCTGCTGGCGAGTGTGAAAATCCCGCTGCTGGGCAATTCACAATCATATTCAATATCTAGGGCCACCTTATTTCGACAATTCAGAGCTCAGGTTGAGGAGTGGCACCACGCATCATCTCCGTTGACGCTCCATAGGGATAGCGGCGGGGCATCTCGTTCACGGACAGGGGGCTCGCATTACGCCGACAAACGGGATCTGCCCATTCGGTGGTGTCCTTATTCGCTTTGATGGAGCTTGGAAGAAGGATGTGGGAGGCAGGTCTAGATTCGCTGGCTTCTTCCATAATGGTCAACTTCTTTTCGCACTCGGGCAGTATTACCTAGGTGTTTCTGAACCTTATATTTCCGAATTATTAGCTCTCCGAGATGCGATAAATTGGTGTGTTTTGCATGGGTTTGTGTCTGTCAATTTCTGTGGCGATTGCCAGCCTTTGATTCGTAGGGTTCGCGCGGGAGATGTGACACATGGAACAGGCGGTGCGATTTTGGAGGAGATTTGCGCGGCATCCGCTTCGTTTACTTTCTTTGATTGTAATTTTACTTCGAGGTTGTACAATAGGGCTGCCCATTTAGTGGCTACTAATGCCCTTCCATCGACAGTTCGACTGTGTTTGCTTATCAAGTGTCCTGTAATAACTATAACTTCCCCTATCTATATAAAAAAAAACAAAGGGTTATAGGTATAATATGCCCCTCTGTTATGACGTTTTATCAAACATGCCCCTGTACTTTGAAAAAATTATCAAACATGCCCTTCTGTTAAACTTTACATTGAAAAAATCGTCAATCATGGTTAAACCGAGATTTAGACGACCCGACATCTGCAAATGGGAGCCAAAATGTGAGTTTTGTCTCTAGTTTTATTTCTCTTGGTCTCTTCATAGTGAAATTATTTGAATTATTGGGCTATACAAAAGAACCAAAAAAATTCTAAAGTGAAATTATTAGGGATATTTTAGACATTTGTGTCACCCAAACCAAAGTTCGACCTTGGTTAACGGTTTTTTGATGAAAATTTTAACAGAAGGGCATGTTTGATAATTTTTTCAAAGTACAAAGGCATGTTTGATGTAAAAAATAGTAGAGGGGCATGTTTGATAAATCATCATAGTAAAGGGCATATTTTACCTATAACTCAAAAACAAAAAACTCCCAAAAAACATAAAAGAGCCGAGGTTTTTCAAAAATTTGGATATTTTCGAAAAAGTCATCCCTTATCTGGGGAATGAATGAAAAGATCCGATTCAAATTAAACATACGACAGACACGAACGAAACAATCTCAGTCCTTGGTTGTACACTCAACGCTCTCCCTTCCCATCTACCTCTCTATCTAACCCACACGATCAACCGAACTCAGACTCCCTGCACTGCAAAATGGACAGAAGGGTAGCTGGGAGAAACCCACACGCATCGACCGCCGATCTCCTCACCTGGTCGGAGGTTCCTCACTCCGATCCCCCGGCGACCACTCCCTCCGCTACCCGCTCCTCCCACCAGGTCAGCTTTTCTCTCTTTCTTTCACGAATCCCAGCTGACTAATAGCTCCTGCATTTCGAAAGCTTCCTAATTCGCATACCCCTGTTTGTTTCATAATCTGGGTTCGCATACTTTTCAGCCGTCGGATAAAATCAGCAAGGTGGTGTTCGGAGGTCAGGTCACCGACGAGGAAGCTCAGTCTCTCTCCAGCACGTAAGATTTCAAAGTCCTATCGCTTTAATCTCCAATTATTTATCAATCTTCCCAAGCTTGCTCTTTTTAAGAATACTGCTCCCTTCGAAGTTTAGCTGGACAAAAAAGGAAATGCAGAGATTTCAGATCTACATCTGCATGTTTGGGGTTTTCCCTTTTATAGCAACACAAGGGTTTCAGATCTAATTATCTAGATGGTGATTGGGTGTATAGGTTTCCCTTGAGTGCTCATTTTCAGCAGTATGAATTATGTGAATCAATGCGGCGATGGAAGTGAGCTGATGAAGGGGTTTTGTTGGTGATTGCAGGAAGCCATGTTCAGGGTATAAGCTTAAGGAGATGACTGGAAGTCGCATTTTTGGAGCTGAAGGTACAGCTGATGATGCGTCTGAAACAAATCCTGCTAACCCTAATGGTAGAACCACAGTTCGTATTGTTCAGGTATTGGATTGATGCTTTTCTTTTTGGCTGTTGTTTTGTATTGCATGTTCTTTGTATGGTAAGTTAATTATGGGCTGTGTTGTCATCTCAGCAAGCCGCGAATGGGATTAGCCAAATCTCGTTCAGCACGGAGGAGACGGTCTCTCCCAAGAAGCCTAATTCTATAGCTGAAGTGGCTAAGCAACGCGAGCTGAGTGGAACTCTACAAACTGATTCCGATTCGAAGAACAAGAAGCAGATATCGAATGCGAAAATCAAGGAGATCAGTGGACATGATATCTTTGCCCCTCCGCAAGAACCAGCTCCTCGATCTGTGCACGTTGCACGCTCACTGGAATCCAGGGAGAACAGCAAGGACAGTGGTGAACCTGCTCCACGGAGCATTCGTACTTCTGTCAAAGTGTCGAATGTAAGCATATTTCCTAAAGTATCTCCGGCTTTACTCTCCTACAGTCCTACTACTACATAGGATGCCTTTGCCCTATTGAACAGTTGATTATGTTGTGTTCTTGAACAAAAAGTTGCCAACTTTCTTTAGTTTCAGGGCTCATATGACCCTTTCTGAACTGCATTGATATGTTTAGTTGTTGGGGAAGATCATATGAGATGTCCTCCTGACTTTTCTGTTTTTTTGGTTCCAACTTTGAACAGCCTGCTGGTGGCCAGAGCAATATCCTATTTGGTGACGACTCAGTGGTGAAGACAGCAAAGAAGATACACAACCAGAAGTTTCAGGAGCTAACAGGAAACAACATATTCAAGGGAGATGTTCCACCTGGATCAGCTGAGAAGACACTAAGCACAGCCAAACTTAGAGAGATCAGCGGCAACAACATCTTTGCTGATGGAAAGTCAGAATCCAGGGACTACTTTGGTGGCGTTCGCAAACCCCCAGGCGGAGAGAGCAGCATTTCACTCATATAGACCGCTGCTAAATGTTCCATTCCATCACCAGTTACTACTCTGATGAAGATCAAATGTCACGCACCTGCACCTGGAGCTCCAGACCCAGAATATGCTCTTAGCTTAGTTTAGTTTCTGGGATTCCATGGTCTATGGTGTCGCTTTCACTTTCCACTTTTTTGCCCTTATTCACCATCTTAACTTAACTATGTATGGCATAAAGTGTTGGATTTCACAGGCTTGTGGAGTTATCTATGTAGTACTACTCCGCAGAGGGCAAAACTTGAGACGGTTTGTATTTCGCTTAAGGGCTATCCTTAACAATGTAGGGTTGTTTTTTTGGTAGCCTGATGAATGAAGGAGTATTCTTCATCTGAGGAAGTAGGAACAGCCCCTGAAATAAAAGAACATCAGAAAAGTTGGCTTCTGATATAAGCTGCCACTACAACTACGCTAAAAGGAGAGGAAAACTTGAGAGCAACCCTAAAACCCACATTCTCAGGAAAGCTAGCACATTCTGAACAAGCATTCATTGCTGGTAATGAAATCAAAATTCTAGAGTTTCTACGTCAACACAGGGGTAAAAGAAGAGAAAGAAAAAAACAAAAGCTTGTTAAGCATCTCCATGGCCGACCAGGGCAAGTAGCATGGCGGCATAGTCGCCAGAGGTATCGCCAGAAATGGCACTTTCGAGGGTGACACTGTTTCGACGATGGTATTCCTCTTTGATTCGTTGCATATCCACTTCTGCCCTGGTGACAACCACCCTCGTAAGGGAGCATTCATCGGTCCCAAAACCCTTCATCGACAACCTCAACACCTTCTCGAAGTACTTCTCTGGGTACGTCAGGCACTTTATGGCTGCTCTCAGTAGCTTCAGGTACTCGTCTTTCGGATCATCCTTCAAATGCTGCAGAATGATTTACAGAGAGAATTGGCAAAACATCTAAATTGTCAAAATACCTTTTAGTTGTGTGTACAATGACTGAAATTGTCTCACAAGGCTGGAGGATGGTTGTCACCAGGACTGAAATTGTCTCACAAGGTATGACTGGAATTTGATTTTCCTATTGGTGTAAGCAATTTGTTTACAATTCTCAACGTCCTATCAAGAATCAGCAGAGAACTGATCGTGGTGCACGTAGAATCAATGGAGTCAAAATTATGTTCTAAAACCTAAAAAATTACGCTTCCAGATTAATAAAATGCTTCGACGTAGAATCGTGTTTTTCCTCATTAATATAGTCAACATCACGGGTTAAAATGTAAAAGATTATGCTTTAACGGTTCTAGGTCACCAAAATGCTTCTACGTATATAGAATAACACATTTAACCGCATTGGGTAGAATCATGAAAAAATCACTAATTGTGGTTTGCTCGTATCTTGAGTACCCCACAATCTTTTGATTTCCAATCAACCAGCTAAGAATGTATAAACACATGCTTACATCTATCTCATTCCGCGATCAAAGCCAGACCCACATAATTGGAAATGCATAAAAGGATGAAACTATCGGGACACGACAATAACTTGATGAATCATTAGGTTACGTACCTTAGTGATTGAACTTCCAAATGCATCATTGTACTGATTAAGCGTGGCGTTCAGCTGTGGCTTACTTCTGGTGCTTAGAATCCGAATGATCTCATCGTCGCCATAAGCCTTGGCCGCGATCTTGTCGTGAAGTATCTTAGCCTCGGATTTCGCCAGGCTCAGGTCCACCTCGTTCCCTTCCTCGTACCGAAACGCAGTCAACAGAGGAGCCAACAACTAACGTTTGTCGTACGTTGCCACAAAAAACGGACATAAAACACAGCATTACCAAATTAACCCACAAGGCACAAAGCACATGCACGATTCATCACGTCCATTGATTTGATGCAACATACATATGTGAAAAATACCTTTCGAAATTCTCCTTTGGCCTGATCCATGACATCTTCCTCCAACGACTTCTTGTACCGAGCATGGTACGCCTGCCGGACTTTGAACAGGTCGTCGGACGACCGCGTGCAGGCGATCTCCATCACGACCCAGTAGCTGGAGTTTGCTTTCTTGGCCACGGCTTCGTGTGCCAGGAGTGCGTCGCGCTCGGATGGTTCTATTGTCCATAGTGTTACGCAGCTCTGTTCGATCGTGTATGTGTTTTCGTCAAAAGCGTGTTTAAATCAACCGTTAATATTCGTTTCCGTACTTACAGTTTACAAATTGAATTACGTTGCGTTACCTCAAAGTCGCCGGAGATTTCGTTGCGCAAAGCCACGATGAGATCTTCGCCGTAAGCTTCGAGGTAAGCCTTTCGGATGAGGGCGCGCTGTGCTGCATTTCTGTGGGACAGGATGGAGATTATCTTCGCCTCGTCGGTGCCCCATCCTGCTGTCGAACCAAAATAACAACCATTGAATTCCAGAGTTAGTTTATTGTAATTGATTTGACGAAGAATTTGTAAAACACAATAGGGTGCAATCTGACGACTTTTATTGAATGCAGCAAAGAGAATATAAATATGGTGATGTGTGCCACAGAACTCGGCCACTAACAACCACCCTAACTCCCAGACTCCTGATTCCTAGCTACCATTACTAACTGATTGAGCTAAAAGCTCTCAACAGTCCTGCATAACACGCAGGGACTTATTTGCAACAAACTAAAATAAATGACTAGCTAGACACTAAGACAAACGACGCCGCACCCACTAATACAATCAGACTCTAATTTGAAACCAAAAACTTGGCGCCCACAGACTAATCCTTGTGCAGTAAGAATTCCAACCTCAGCAGCTCCAACAAGTCCTCCCCTGAACTGAAGCTTCTCCTGCACCAGGCTTCAGTTCACTTCACCATTCTCAACTCAATTTGCTTGTTATCTCAGAAACATCACAGATCCCCAGCCTGCTCCTTAACCTCAGAAAAGAATCCAGCTTTAGTGCTTTTGTCATGATATCTGCAACCTGATCTTGAGTTCCACAGTACTGCAGCTCCACCATTCCATCTTTCGCAAGATCCCTCAGAAAATGGAACCTCACATCTATGTGTTTACTTCGTCCATGAAACACTGGATTCTTGGACAGTTTAATTGTTGAACTGTTATCACACATAATGACAGTTCCTTCATTTACACTCTTCTTCCAACCAATTTCTTCCAGAATCCTCCTGAGCCATACACACTGAGCTGCACAATATGATGCAGCAATGAATTCTGCTTCAGTGGTGGATAGAGTAACCACAGGTTGTTTCTTGGAAGCCCAGGAAACTGCCCCACCTGCTAGGAAGAATATATAGCCACTGGTGCTTCTTCTGTCATCAAGATCACCAGCATAATCACTATCTGTGTAGCCAAGCAGGTTCTCTTCTTCAATTCCTCTTTGATACAGAATACCATGACCCATTGTGCCCTTTAGATATCTCAAAATTCTCTTTCCAGCCAACATGTGCTGTCTGGTTGGGGCCTCCATATACCTGCTCAATAAACACACAGCAAACATTAGATCTGGTCTGGTTGCTGTGATGTACAAGAGACTTCCAATTAGTTTCTTGAATTCTCCAGCATCTACAGGATAACCATCTCCAGCCTTGGTTAGCTTTGCACCAGGTACAATGGGATTGTGAGTGAAGTTGCAATCCAACAGGTGAAATCTCTCTAGGATTTCCTTTGCATATTTCTGCTGACAGATAAAGATCCCTGTGTCACTCTGAATAACTTCTACCCCCAGAAAATATCTCATTTTGCCCAAATCAGTCATCTCAAACTCAGCTTCCATTGATAGCTTGAATTCCTGGATCATTTCATTGCTAGTGCTCATGTACATGAGGTCGTCCACATACAGGCTGACAACCAACAGATCAGTTTCCTTTCTCTTGATGAACAATGTTGCCTCACTTGGACATCTCTCAAAACCTTGATTGAGAAACCAGCCCTCAATCCTGCTGTACCAGGCCCTAGGGGCCTGCTTCAAACCATATAAAGCCTTCTTCAATTTGTAGACTTTCTTCTCCTCCCCAGCAACCACAAATCCCTGTGGTTGCTCAACATAAACGTCTTCTGTGAGCTCACCATGCAGAAATGCACTTTTTACATCAAGCTGCCAGATTGTTAGTCCATGATGAGCAGCAAAAGCAATAAGTGTTCTAATGGTGTCCCACCTGGCTACTGGAGCAAAGACTTCAGTGAAATCAATTCCAGGTCTCTGTGCATAGCCCTTGACAACTAGCCTGGACTTGTGTTTATCAAGATCTCCAGTTTCCTTAAACTTGGTCTTGTAAACCCACTTTACTCCAATAGGAACCACACCTTCAGGACAATCTGTCAACTCCCAAGTATTGTTCCTTTCAATTGCCTGCATCTCCAGCTTCATTGAATCATCCCAGATGTCATTCCCAGCAGCTTCCTCATAGCTTTGAGGATCATCAGTAGTGGCCACCATGACTAGCCAGTCTGTGTTCAGAGATTCCACATGACCACAATCATAAATAGCTAAATGACTGGGTGGTTTCCTGGTTCTGGGACCAAGATCAGCACTTAAAGGGAGTCCCAACACATCAGTTTGAGGTTCTTCCTCCTCATCAGCAGTGGCAGTCAACTCAGTGTTTGGTAGAGGTGTGGTTGGACTTCCAGCTTCTTCCTCTTCAGCAGTGTCAGCTCCCTCTAGTACACTTGGTCCCTCTTCCCCATCAGAATCACTCCAATCTTCCTCACTTCCTTCCCAAAACAACCTTGTAAGACCAGGTTGAATGTCTGACTTCCAACTCCAGCCCTTACTCTCATCAAAAACAACATCTCGACTGATGATAATCTTTCTGGTCTGAGTATTGTATAGCTTATAGGCTTTAGATTCTGCAGATATACCAAGAAACTGACATTGTGTACTTTTATCATCAAGTTTTTTCCTTTGCTGGTCTGGAATGTGTGCATATGCAACACAACCAAACACCCTGAAATGAGCAACAGATGGTGAAGCACCAGTCCACAACTCATGTGGTGTTTTGCCCTGATTAGCCACAGTTGGACTCCTGTTGAGCACATGTGTGGTCCAGTTTACAGCCTCAGGCCAAAACGCAGAAGGAACCCTTGTATCTTTCAGCATACACCTGACCATATTCATTGTGGTTCTATTTTTCCTCTCAGCTACCCCATTCTGCTGGGGAGTGAGAGCTGCTGTCAACTGTCTTTTGATTCCAGCCTCCTCACATAAGTCCTTAAACTCATGCAGAATAAATTCACCTCCTCTATCAGTTCTTAGACACAGAATTGACAATCCAGTTTCATTCTCTACTTGTAGCTTGAACCTTTTAAACCATTCAAGAGTCTCAGACTTGGCAGCTAAGAATTGAACCCACAGTTTTCTACTATAGTCATCAATTATAGTCAGAATGTACCTCTTACCCCCATTCGAAGTTGGAGTAATAGGGCCACACAAATCAGCATGCAGCAACTGAAGCTTCTGAGTTGCTCTCCATGGGCTCTTTTGAGGAAAAGGTTGCCTAGTCTGCTTCCCAACTTGACAGGTAGAACATACTCCTACTGCCCCTTTCAGATCAGGTATGCCTTGCACCAACTTCTTCCTTTGTACTTGTAATAACCCTGCTGGATTGAAGTGACCAAACCTCCTATGCCAGAGGCTTAGTGAGGCTTCTTGTGAGTTTCCAGTCTGCAAACACTGAATGTCTACAGTAGTGACATTCTCAGTAGTGGCAGCCTGCAGGACAAACATTCTATTTGCTTTCATCCTTGTTTCCAGCAGGAAACCTCTTTCTTCATGAAAGATTTTGCATTCATTCCTTCTAACCAGGAACTCCAATCCTTTCTCCTGCAATTGACCCATACTTAGCAGGTTTGTTTTCAAACCTGGAACAAAGAAAACATCATGAATAATTAAGGACACTCCATTTACTTGCAGCTTCACTGTTCCCTTTCCAGCCACATCCAACCTGCTGTCATTTCCCAGCCTTACTTTTCCAGATCCAAGTGAAGTTGTATCCAGATCACCAAACCACTTCCTGTTACCACTCATGTGGTTACTACATCCAGAATCAAGGAACCACCACTGTTCCATTCCTTCCAACTGAGTTCCTTCCAGAAAAGCCATCAGCAGAACATCATCACCCATATTTCCTTGACTAGAGCTGGAATAGTAGGCTTGTTGATTGTTATACCAGTCAGGGCACTCACTCTTGTAATGCCCTAACTTATGACATTTAAAACACTCAACATTCTCCCTATTCCAGCCCCTACCTCCTCTACCTCTACCTCTGCCAGCATATCCACTTCTACCAGCTGCTCTTCCTCCTCTACCACCATATTCATGGAAGACCTTCAAAGCCTGATCCTCCTCTACCAGAGGTTTCTTATGAAACTTCTGTTCATGTACCAGCAAGGAGCTCTGAAGAGCATCAACAGACAAGGTCTCAATGTCTTTTGACTCCTCAATGGAGCAAACAACATAATTGAACCTTTCTGTTAGTGTTCTTAAGATCTTCTCAACTATCTTCACATCAGGCATATCTTCACCACAGTTTCTCATATCATTAGCCACAACCATAACTCTGCTAAAGTATGCAGTTACTGTCTCACCTTCTTTCATCTCAAGAACCTCAAAGTTCCTCCTCAAAGCTTGCAACTGGGCCTTCTGGACACGAGCACTCCCTTGATACTTGGTTTTCATAGCATCCCAGAGTTGTTTTGCAGTTGCCTTATTGGTGATGGTCTTCAAAATTGATTTGTCAATGGAGCTAAACAAATAATTTTTGGCCTTGAGATCCTTGAGCCTGAGATCATCGAGGCTTTTGGCTTCAGTAGCAGACAACTGAGTTCCAATGGCTGGTTCCTGAATTCCCTCACTCACAACACCCCAGTACTCCTTGGATCTCAGGAGGTTTTCCATCAAAAGGCTCCAGTGATCATAATCTCCATCGAACTTTGGCAAACCAACCTGAGCAAAACCAGAATTATCACTCATGATTGCTATGGCTTCTCTCACCCTTGGAATAGCTTCCTCACACAGTACTCTCGTGTTTCCCCACCCAGATCCTGCAAATCACTCAATTTCACTCTGATACAATCTCTCGGTAAGCTTAAAAGCTAACCAAATCAACAATGGTTACAGCTTGCTATGTGCTCTGATACCAAATGTAAAACACAATAGGGTGCAATCTGACGACTTTTATTGAATGCAGCAAAGAGAATATAAATATGGTGATGTGTGCCACAGAACTCGGCCACTAACAACCACCCTAACTCCCAGACTCCTGATTCCTAGCTACCATTACTAACTGATTGAGCTAAAAGCTCTCAACAGTCCTGCATAACACGCAGGGACTTATTTGCAACAAACTAAAATAAATGACTAGCTAGACACTAAGACAAACGACGCCGCACCCACTAATACAATCAGACTCTAATTTGAAACCAAAAACTTGGCGCCCACAGACTAATCCTTGTGCAGTAAGAATTCCAACCTCAGCAGCTCCAACAGAATTCGTTGTTGATGAGTTTAAGGTAAACTCTGATCATCGAGTACTTAAATCATTGTAGCATGTGTATGAGAAGACACACAACCTAATTAACTAACACTCATCATAAAAAGTGTACTCTTCACGATGATCACATCGATTAGACTTGAACCAACAATCTTTTCATTTTCTTTCCAAAACGAATCGGTTTGTCATTGGATCACTGCAAACTTAGTTTTTCTTCAATCACCACCACATCAATGAAACTTAGAACCAACAATCTTTTAACCCTTTAAAACCAATTGGTTCATCATCCCATCACTCAAAATTTAGTTTTCCTTCAATCATCATACAACAGTTTCACTCGATCGTAGGTGCGTCAAAACACACAATCTAAAAATCAATTGTAACAGGACACAGAATTTGCACTCCAAATTCATGATTTTTGTGATTGATTCAAAATGAATTCTCTACACAATCAGAGATCTTTCGTCATTGAAGTTAGACTGTTAAAGTAAACTTCAATTACCGTAATGCTCATATGATGTTTGGTGAATTAAATCAGACAGTCTAATCTAACACTGTATGATAATCGAGTTGTATTATTTACAAAGGCGCGAGGCAAGATTTGAAGTAAAAAATCTCTTTTTTTCGAAAATCAATACATTTTTCACCGAGTTACACGATAATGAGCTATGCATAAAAAATCATAGGGTAAATCACAAAAGGTTAAGGAAAACGATGGAGCTATCGTAATTGGGGTTTGATCGACAGAGTTGTATTCATTGGAATCAATCTATCAACGTTGGTGATCAATTGTTAAACAAGTTATTAAGAAGGCTAAACAAGGTGAGCGGTAAAGCGATCAAAATCAGTAATATGATGATAATGGTGATGACCTTGGAAAGCCTTGTGGAGTTGCTCGGCGTCCTCAGAAGGAAGAGGGACCTTAGCTGGAACTTTCAGGCTCGCCATTGCTATTGCTATGCTATTATTGATTTCAAATCTCTGGACTTGTTTTCATTCTCAGATAATAACTCTCGATCTGTTTCTCTATCTCAGTCTCTCTAGCTCTCTCGCTCTATGCATTGTCGTCAAGGAATGTCCTTCGCCATGTTTTGTGCACGGAAAGAGGACAGGTTTGAAAAGGCCAATTAATTAGAATTTAGTAAAGAGAAATAAAAAAGATGGCTTAATTGCAAGTTTGGTCACTCGAATTGCTACAAAATTTCATGTTTGGTCACTCGAATTGATTTATTCCATTCGTAGTCACTTAAATTAGTTTAACAGTCCAACTTTGGTCACTCTCCGTTAACCTCCGTCAAACTCCGTTAGTACCGTCAGTTAACTGCTGACGTGGCTAACAGAGGTGCTTAGTCATCCTATTTTAACCAAAAAAAATAAAAAAAAATATGCCACATCATTAAACCCTGAATATTTTAAAAGTCCACCCAAACCCAATCAACCCCTGACCCGAGCCGAACCTTTGAACCGACCCATTCACCTGTTCCCCCTCTCCTTCCCGTTCTTCTTCCCCATCTTCGACCCCAACCAGAGCTCCGCGGCAACCTCAACCAGAGCTACGGCTCCAACGAGATGGCCAAGAACACCCGGATCTCTGTGACCGAGGCGGAGGTGGAGGAGATGGTGATGAAGGTGGATTCCAACGGCGACGGGCTGATTGACTTCGAGGAGTTCAAAATCCTATGTAGAAACATGGCCGCTGGCGGAGAGGGAGAGGCGAGGGCGTCAGAGAATCAATTCACTTCTCCCTCCAAGATCCGCCACCGCCACCTCGTCTCCTTAATCGGATACTGCGACGACGGCGCCGAGATGATCTTCGTCTACGAGTTCATGAAAAACGGAACCCTCAGAGACCATCTCTACAGATCCGACGATGATGATTCCAGTTCTACTTCTCCTCCCTCCTCCGTGGCTTCCACCACCACGATGCTGAATTGGAAGCAGAGGCTCGAGATCTGCATCGGGTCGGCCAAAGGCCTGCACTATCTTCACACCGGATCCGACGGGGGGATCATTCACAGGGACGTCAAGTCGACGAACATCCTGCTCGACGAGAATTTCGTCGCGAAGGTGGCCGATTTCGGGCTCTCTCAGGCGGGTCTGCCCGATCCGGACCACCACAGCATGGCGCTGAAAGGGAGCTTCGGGTACCTCGACCCGGAATTCTTCCGGACGTTTCAGCTCACCGATAAATCGGACGTTTAGTCTTTTGGGGTTGTGTTGCTCGAGGTGGTCTGCGCGAGGCCGACGATTGTGAGCTCGACAGGGATCGGGAGGGAGAGGCGAGGGCGTCAGATCTGGAGGCAGAGGAAATCAAAATTGACAGCGGTGGCGTCGGAGGAGATGAATTGAGAGATGCGTTCGAGGTATTCGACAGGGATCGGGACGGGATGATCACGGTGGAGGAGCTGGGGTCGGTGCTGTCGTCGCTGGGATTGAAGGAAGGGAAGCGGATGGAAGCCTGCAAGGAGATGATCCGGAGAGTCGATGTCGACGGCGACGGGATGGTGAATTTCGATGAGTTCAGGACGGTGAGCATTCTTAATTTGGTCTCTAATCATCAAGGCGCCGTCGTCAATAATAGGGTTTGGAAGATTGAATGGGGTCGGAGCTGGGGAAGAAGAGGGGGGAAGGAGAGGGGGAACAGGTGAATGGGTCGGTTCAGGGGTTCGGCTCGGGTCAGGGGTTGATTGGGTTTGGGTGGACTTTTAAAATATTAAGGGTTTAATGATGTGGCATTTTTTTTTAATTTTTTTGGTTAAAATAGGATGACTAAGCACCTCTGTTAGCCACGTCAGCAGTTAACTGACGATACTAACGGAGTTTGACGGAGGTTAACGGAGAGTGACCAAAGTTGGACTGTTAAACTAATTTAAGTGACTACGAATGGAATAAATCAATTCGAATGACCAAACATGAAATTTTGTAGCAATTCGAGTGACCAAACTTGCAATTAAGCCCAAAAAGATAAAAGACATTATAATATTTCCTTATTTATTCCCCCCCCACCCCTCTTTTTGTGGTTCAAAACGAAAAATAATTGGCCTCAAAATAAAAAAATGAGACAAATTTGACATTGAAAAGGGCTGAGATCAGGTGATTAAGGGGTGTCTCTTAGTTACTTGTCTAAGTCGATCTCAATCCTTCAACCTCATTAAAATTTAATGGCTCCAATTAATTCAATTTAATGAAGGGTAATAAAGTAATTGCATGGTTCATGATTATTTTATATTTTAATAATTAATAATTAAAAAGAGGCGGCACGTCTGTCCTCCCCGTTGCCGATCAAAATTTTCCGGAGTACTCCCGCCGTCCAGGATTTCCGGCGGCCACCATATATTCTGTCCATTTTTTTTTGTCCCACAGAGAACCGTCGGTTCCTGGGAAATATATTCCCCTTCAACCATTTTTTTTTGTCCCAGGAAACATATTCCCCTTCCATGGAGTTCCGGAGAGAGAGAGATGTTTGTGTACATATTTTGTACGCTTTGTTATTTTGTAATGTTCGCAAACTTTGTTATTTTTGTGCACCATGTTTATCATTTTTGTCAACCATGTTTGTAATGTTTTTTATGTCTAAAAAATAACCTGGTTGACTTTTGGATGGAACTTCTCTATATAGGGATGGAGCCTCCAAAGTCAACCCGGGTGTTTTTTCCCGTTCGTATGGATTGTCGGTCTAGTTTGCCATTTTTGTCCACCATGTTCGTACTGTTTGTATGTTGTCCCAGGAAACATATTCCCCTTCCATGGAGTTACGGAGAGAGAGAGAGAGAGAGAGAGAGAGAGAGAGAGAGAGAGAGAGAGAGAGAGAGAGAGAGAGAGAGAGAGAGAGAGAGAGAGAGATGTTTGTGTACATATTTTGTACGCTTTGTTATTTTGTAATGTTCGTAAACTTTGTAATTTTTGTGCACCATGTTTATCATTTTTGTCAACCATGTTTGTAATGTTTTTTATGTCTAAAAAACAACCTGGTTGACTTTTGGATGGAACTTCTCTATATAGGGATGGAGCCTCCAAAGTCAACCCAGGTGTTTTTTCCCGTTCGTATGGATTGTCGGTCTAGTTTGCCATTTTTGTCCACCATGTTCGTACTGTTTGTATGTTGTCCCAGGAAACATATTCCCCTTCCATGGAGTTCCGGAGAGAGAGAGAGAGAGAGAGAGAGATGTTTGTGTACATATTTTGTACGCTTTGTTATTTTGTAATGTTCGTAAACTTTGTTATTTTTGTGCACCATGTTTATCATTTTTGTCAACCATGCTTGTAATGTTTTTTATGTCTAAAAAACAACCTGGTTGACTTTTGGATGGAACTTCTCTATATAGGGATGGAGCCTCCAAAGTCAACCCGGGTGTTTTTTCCCGTTCGTATGGATTGTCGGTCTAGTTTGCCATTTTTTTCCACCATGTTCGTACTGTTTGTATGTCTAAAAAACACCCGGGTTGACTTTGGGAAGGAGCCCCTCTATATAGGGATGGAGCCTCCAAAGTCAACCCGGGTGTTTTTTCCCGTTCGTATGGACGGTCTAGTTTGTCATTTTTGTCCACCATGTTCGTACTGTTTGTATGTATAAAAAACACCCGGGTTAACTTTGGGAAGGAGCCCCTCTATATAGGGATGGAGCCTCCAAAGTCAACCCGGGTGTTTTTTCTTTTTGTATGGTTTGTATTGTTTGTCAGTCTAGTTTGTATTGTTTGTACAGTTCATACGTTTGTAATGTTTGTAAATCTGTTTGTATGTTTTGTCGCTCTAGTTTGTACTGTTCGTATGTTTGTATGGTTTGTACTGATTGTAAATCCGGTTTGTATACTTCGTAATTTTCCATAATACCCAAACTACCCCTAGCATTAATTAAATAGCCCTTCCCACTTTTTAACCATTGGATTGAAGTGTTCATATCTAATGGCTAGGAGGGGCTTAGTCAAGTAACTAAAAACTCCCTGGATCCCCTCTCATTGAAAAGGGTGGATGGATTAGTTGCTCTCAATTCTCTTCCCCACCAAGCCCAATCCAACAGCATAAGCTCAGATGCTTGCCGATATTGGACTGCCATAAACGCCATCCATGAAATGGGCTTAAGCCCAATCCGAAGTCCCACGTACTACCATTACCAGCTGGAGCATAGAAGAGAGTTTGGCGGATTTCTTAAACCGGACTCCGCTGGCTGGGAATGTGGATTTGTCTTTGGCCGCACGATTAGCGACAAAAGGAAAAGTAGGAGGAGACGAAGACGATAACGGACGGACTGTCACCCAATCCAACGAATGAAAAAAAATACCAGTAAAGAAAACCCATTTCCTCTCGTAGTCCTTTCGCCTGCCGAGCGGTGACCAGTCTCATTCATTCCCGCGGAACACGACGATGGTGTGAGTGCTACAGACCCAGAAGAAGAAGGTAAATAAACAATTTCAGCAGCTGCCCGGAGAAATTAGTAGATTGTCGAAACAAAAAATAGAAAGGGGGAAGCCTTAGAAAAAATGGTGTCTATTGGAGATTCCTTGCGATATACGGTGATTCAATTTGGCGTGTGTCTGTTGGGCAGTTAGATATGCCAACAGAGTCGGGTGATAGGAAGTCGGAAGGTTCAAGATCTCTTCTTCTTTCGAGAAGGACAAGGACTGGAAATAGAGAAGCGATCACATAGTGAGAAGAAATGGGGAAGCAGAGATCACTGAGGAGCAAAGCAGTTCATTTCGTGTCTGATCTGACCACTGGCCTTCTCAACCCTATCTCTGATAAGCCTTCTTCGAACAACCATCCTCCCCCTTCATCTCAACCTGTAAGTCTCCTTTTTCAATTTCCCCCTTTATCGCCGCCTCGATGATTCTGGCTTTAAATTTGCTGTCTTGGGGGTGTTTGGGTGGAAACCCAGCTTCTGTTAGACGATGGGTTTGCATGATCGCAGCTTCTTCTAGGTAATTTAGGACTCAATTTGGTGGTTTGGAAATGAAGGTTTCGCTTATGTTACTAAGGAAACGATTGATTTCGAGGCTGATTGTATGGTTGGATGGAAACTATAGCCGTGAAGAAGCTTATACTTACTTTCTGAAGCTGGGATTTCTTCATGAGTTGAAAATGCGAGTATCAGGCTATGGTATTCCTCGTTTTTCATGTCATTTACACAATAAAACCAGTGAAACCGTTCGGCCTTCAAGAACCGAAAATGCTAATTGTCTCCGTAAGAACAACTACTGAATTTTTTCTTCTTCTATGGTTTGGCATATTAGCTAGACTCTGACTTGGTAGTTGTGTGTGAACTACAATCCTAGTTTGGGTTCTCCTAAAGGTGATTGTACACTAAAAGCAGTTTGTACATCTTGATTCAATAGGAAAATCAGGGCGACCAGAAAACAAGTTCTCTAGAATGGATCACTGAAGAAGAGAATGAAGATCTACTTAATGGGCCAGATACATCGTCGTTCAAGGCATTTCTCTATTCTTTGTTGTCTGCTTCAGAGCCTGGAAGCAAAGCTGAATCAGATGCTGCAAATGAACATCAAGGAGGATTGGGTGGGGATCAACCATCAGACAGTGAAACGAAAGGGAACACAGGGAAGAAAGGTTTGCTATCTAAGGGGAAACAATCTCTTAGAAACGTGTACCAATTCACTAGAATCAGTGGGTATTGGGGTCAAGAGCGTAAGGGTGAATCTAAGTCCAAGTTTGTTAATGAGGGTCCTGATAGCTTTGATGGACTTGAGATGAAGGACATGCTGCCAAGTGGGAACCCGCCTGCTGCTTTAGAGCACCTTCCTGACATTTCTGAACCTTCATTACTTCTCTCAGAAAAGACAAGGATGGTGCTCTATGCTTCACTTCCTGCTCTTGTTAAAGGGAGGAAATGGTTGTTGCTGTACAGGTGAGTGCCTGAGAGATGGTTTTTTCATTCTTCTCTTGTATATTTTTGGTACTGGTACATATTCTTGATTATGTGGTTCTTTGCAGTACCTGGAGGCATGGGATTTCGCTCTCAACTTTATATAGAAGAAGCATGCTCTGGCCTGGTCCCAGTCTGCTGGTAATGCATGAATTACATTGTTAGAAACCGAGTTATCTAGGGTTTCTATATTTATTATTTTAATTATTATTAGGGTAAGTCTTATTAAGGTTAGTAGTCATTTAATAGAATTAGGTTTATTGTTAGGGTTTTCCAGTCTTTCATTATAAATATGTACTTTGCGTTTTATTCAGAATCAGTCAATAAAGAATTATCAAAGAATTCTCTAAACCCTAATCTCCCTATCTTCCCAATTCTCGATCTCAATCCCTCTAAAGGCCTAGGCCGATTCCCTTCTGTTCTTCCCCAATTCTTTCCCAAATCCCTAATTCTATCTTCTCAATCCCTAAATTCCCAAATATCACCCATCCAAATCCCGTTAGAAACTTTGTTTCTAACATCTGGTATCAGAGCCCGGTTTCGATCGGTGAGTTCTTCTCAACTCCATCAGGGACAGCTGAGAAACCGGAGCATCGACATGGAAAAATCAGAGCAGTCATGGGCTCAGTTGCGAGAGGAGTTATGGCAAATCGCGAACTCCTGGAAGAGGGAGCCAGCGCGAGGCGCCGCGACAGAGAAGGAGGGCGCGCGGCTGGCGGCGCTCGATGACGCCGACCGAGGCGACGGCGCGGGACGCGGCTCGTGCGTCCGGGCGAGCGGCGTGGACGGAAGGGCCGCGGCCGAGGGGCGCGCGACGGCGCGCGGAGCAGAGGACGACGACGCGGGATGGGTGGACAGGAACTCCGGGACATGGGCAAAGCTCCACGGAAGCAATGAACGACGACCCGGAGACGAATCGATGACGAGCCTCACGACAGGCTTGCCGAATCCGCGAATCCCGCGAGCTGTGCATCAATCAGCGGCGGCTCTTTATGCGGGGACGATATCCGAAGAGACAATGAAGCACGGGATCGGCGCTGCTGCTTCCCTTGCGCGATTGACGTCGGTTCCAAGCCAGATGACGACTGCGAGGAGAGGAGCGGAGCAGGACCACCGCGAGTCTTCCCCGTCGGCGCGAGTCGCGCGGGTGACGCCGACCAGCCCACCCATGGCGATGAAGGGAGAGACGCCTGAGAAGAAGGAGGAGCAGAGCCGCGAGGGTTCTTCGCCTGCGGCGCCATTCAGAGGGCGGCGCACTGCCGGAGAAGAAGAAGAAGAGAAGCAGGCTACGACGGAGAAAGAAACTCCGGTGGCCCAGAGTAAGAAGAAGAAGCGCGGCGGCGGCATCCTCTGTCCGTCGTCGAATACGGCGTCGGCGGCAGCCCGAATCATGCAGACGCCGGGATCTGATGTCGAGGCGACGACGGAGCTGAAGGTGGCGGCGGCGGCGGGCTGGCCTCGTGGTCGTCGAGTATCGCCGAGGGAAGACGCGACGACGGAGAGGGAGGGGAGGAAGCTGTCGTCGGAGCTGAAGACAGCTGCCGGGTCGGGTGGTTCGCCGCCGAGGGATGAGGAGTCGAAGAAAGCGGCGTCGAAGAAGAAGGAGGGCGGCGGCCGCAACCCTCTGCCTCTGCCTCTCGTGAACCCTAGGCGGCAGCTACAGGTGGAGTTGGGCCGAGAAGACTTGGGTCGCACAGCTGGGTTCACGTTGGGCCGAGTTTGGTTGAACCAGCAGGGCGAACCGACGCTCGAATGGAGCTGGGCCGAAGCGGGCCAAAGTTATGGACTGGTCTTGGGAAAGAAAATGGTTGGGCTTAGATCAAGACACACAGAGCAATTAAGCGAGCTTAAAAGGAGCCCATTGGTTAAGTCTGTTTTGTTTAGATTTGGGCCGAGTTTCCAGGAGGATTATGGGCCATCAATGGGCTATCTTGTTGGATTTGTTTTGCAAGAAATGGAAGATGAATTCATGGGCTTAGAGGATGGGCTCAAAGAAGAAAGACTCTATGATTCTTATATTGTGGAGTTTGAAAAGGATGATGGAGGGATATTTGATCATGGTTGCAACCTGCGTCACGTGGATTGGGAAGAGGCCATTGGAGTCGGAGTCGCTGGTGTGGGTTTCATTCGAGCAGTGGAGCACAATTGGAAGACACGAAAGCGCAAGGAGTGGAGAAGACAAAACGCGGATTGCGCGGGAGATGTGAAGAAATGGGTCGAGTCGATCAACCTTGAGGGCAAGGTTGGTCTGAAGGGGGAGGAGATGTTAGAAACCGAGTTATCTAGGGTTTCTATATTTATTATTTTAATTATTATTAGGGTAAGTCTTATTAAGGTTAGTAGTCATTTAATAGAATTAGGTTTATTGTTAGGGTTTTCCAGTCTTTCATTATAAATATGTACTTTGCGTTTTATTCAGAATCAGTCAATAAAGAATTATCAAAGAATTCCCTAAACCCTAATCTCCCTATCTTCCCAATTCTCGATCTCAATCCCTCTAAAGGCCTAGGCCGATTCCCTTCTGTTCTTCCCCAATTCTTTCCCAAATCCCTAATTCTATCTTCTCAATCCCTAAATTCCCAAATATCACCCATCCAAATCCCGTTAGAAACTTTGTTTCTAACATACATGCTCTCGACTTATCAGCTTCACTTCCTTCTCTTTAGTAATTTGACCTTCTTTCAGCTTATCCAATCCTCTCTTCTTCTTGAATATTTAGACCCCAACAAACTAGAAGGTAAATTTGATGCAAATAGCAACAATTGTTTTGTACGGGAAGTACTATGTCCAACCAGATGGCTCTAAAGATGTTTTAGGTCTTAGATCTAGAGCATGGGACAAAGGAAACACGAACAAAAACCTGATTGAATTGGAGAATAGGGTAGAGTAATAGAAGACCTCGTTCTGAATATCCTGTTTGTCGTTGGAGGAACTGCTGCTGGTATCTTTAGTCACTTTCCACATTGTTTTGTTTCATTATGTCTCAGGTTGTTGGAGACAGAAAAGGTGCTGTTTTTGGTGGTTTGGTTGAAGCACCACTCAGACCAACAAACAAAAAGTATCAGGTGGCATATCTTGCTTCTATTCACTTATGCGTATTCAATTTTTAAAGGGATACTGACGCTAGATATTTACAGGGCACAAATAGGACCTTTGTCTTCACAAATACATCTGGAAATCCCGTTATATTCCACCCTACTGGTACTTCTTTCCATCCATCTCTGCTGCACAGCATTAGATACTTGTTAAAAATATCCCTTTTATGCGTCATTGCTGTAATTAAGCTGTTTGAGCTACATGTGACTGGAGTTTTTTGCTAGTCAACGTTCTATCTTTCACTCTCGTCAGTATGTTGTTTATGAAACCATTTACAACACTGGATTTTTTGTTGTAAAGTAAAATATGCCAACTCTTTGCTGGTAAAAGCTACCAGTCCCTGTAGAACTATATTTAAGAAGTTATTTTGTAGTGTTCTGAATTTGATTGATTAAACAAGTCTTTTGAGTTTACACTGAACCACTTCCAATAATCTCTACATCAATTGCTTGCATGATGGAGGAATGTTGGAATGCCAGCCTATGAAATTTTAATCTAATTAACGCACAGGGAAGTGCTGACAACTATTTTGGATCAAGCTTGCCATGAACACGGTGCATTTAACATTAGTCTTGTAGTGTCCTAATGGCTACATACTTGTGATCAGGTGCAAATCGATATTACACTTTGTGCTCGACTGACTTTCTAGCAGTTGGTGGTGGTGGCCACTTTGCGCTGTACTTGGACAATGAACTGTAAGCTCTGGTTTCTCTCGAACAAGAATAGATGTGTTCCATGCATGTTCAAAGAACAAAAAACATATAGGTGGGAACTGCTGATTTCTGATGGTTTTGTTTTATGTCGAAAAGGTTGAACGGATCGAGTTCAGTGTCAGAAACATACGGAAACCCTTGCCTCGCATTCTCACAGGACTTTGAAGTGAAAGAGGTGGAGGTATGGTTTCAAGCTAGATCTCTCTGTCTATGCACAACATGCATACTCGGTTACTTTCCACAGTTAAGTGAAGTGAGGCCATGTCTATTTTTCTGCAGTTGTGGGGGTTTGTGTACGGTACGAAGTACGATGAACTACTTGCTGCCAGTAAAACGGAGGCTCCTGGGATTTGCCGATGGTGACTGTGTAGGAAAAGCTGCCTGCCATTTCCACAGAAATGGAGATATCCTTCTCTCATTTTTGTTGCAAGTAGGCACGAGTAAGAAAGATGGCTCTCAGCCAATCTAATACAGCATGTACATAGGATGACGTCTCACTCACCGTATGTGTATATAATCTTGACGCATGACTTATGGATCTTCGTCCCTGATGCTGTCTGCCACCAGTCTCAATTAGCCATACCCATAATCATAATATAATACCTTCGACATACTTTCAACATCAATTCATTCCCTCTTTTCTAGGGTCACATATACTTCTTGGACTATCATCTTAGTCTATTAGATTATAGGTCTAGAAATTCAATAAGGATTCATTTGTCTCAAAGGAAGTGGGTAGTTATCATAAATGGTCACAAACCTATTCAATTTGTACAAAATGGTCACAATCCTTTAATTTTGCACGTTTCGGTAAATAAAGTTTGAGCAAATAACGAAACGGTCAATCCGTCCAAATCCGTCCAAAATTCCGTCTCAGATCGCCACGTCAGCATGCCACGTCAGTGTAAATATTAATAAAAAAATGTCCTCACTTAACCCGAGTCTTCAACCGGTTCAGAAATCGACCCTTACCCATTTTTTTACCCCCAAATTGTTTTACCCTAATTTGTTTACCCCCAAAACCAGAAGTCGGGAGAGTTGGCCGTCGTCCTCCTCCAAACCATCGTCGTCCTCCCACCCGATTCGCCCGCCATCCTCCCCCGCGCCGGCGCTCCTACTGATTCGCTCGCCGGCTGAAGTGCAGGAGGGAAGGTGCGGGAGATTCTTCCAATCGACCGAGAAAAATCCCTCTTCGCCCCTCTTCGCCCCTCTTCACCCACAACCAGTCCCACGAAATCGGAACTGGTCCCGGTTCATCTCCAGAGCCGCAGCAACTTCCCCGAAGAGAAACTCACTCACCCGGAGCTGGTCCAGGTTCATCTCCCCGACCGGAATCTCCCACCAATCCAACCGCGCCTTCGTCCACGTCATCACCTTCCTCAGATCCTCCTGACTAATAATGGATGAGTGGAAGCTGCGTTCAGCCCAGAGTCGCCATCTGAAGCCTGATTATGGTAAGAGTTCTGACTTTTCGGCAAACTTTTTAGGGTTTACAACATGTGGGGTGAGGGTTTTGTTGTTATAAAAGAATCGATTTTGTTGTCGGGTAGTGTAAGGGAAAGCAGCTGGTCCCATTATACAATCATGGTTTTGGTGGATTCAAAGCAGATGGTCCAATTAGTATATTCTGATTTTTTGGATTCAAAGCAACTGGTCCCCATTTGTTTATTCGAATTAGTGCACACAATTGAATGGATTTCATTTCTATTTATAGGGAATTCTGGACTTTTCACCATTGAGATACACAGCATGGGGCAGTTTGGCGGCACGGGCTACACTAATGGGAAGACTGATTTCATTGACTTTGTCGATGTTGACAAATTGTCAATGCTGGAAATTAAAGAGATGGTCAGAACAGCAGAAGTGGAGCAGGCTATGCAGTTCTTTTGGTTGATGCCTGGTGTGGATGTGCAGAATGGATTGAAACTCTTAGAGAGTGATAACGATGTTCTTGAGATGGGTGAGCATGTTCCTGAAGACAGAGTTATCCATCTGTATGTTAAGCATACAAATTCTAGTTGTGGTAGCCCAGATACAACCCATTTCGTTCGCACTAGCAGTGAAAGGGAGGTGGAAGAAATTAGAGAGCCATCGGTTTCAGTTAAAAGGGGACGAGGACATACATTGACAGAGGAAAGACAGGGTAGAGATTCCACAGGATCATCCCATAAAGAGAAACCAGCTGCAACTAACGACAATGAAGGAGTTCTAGATGAAGATGTCCTCGAGAAAGACGACTTGTATGCAAGTGAAGGTGAGTTATTGGAGAAGACTGGATGGGGCAGCGAAGAAGAAGAGGACGTGTTCAACATAAACACAATTTTTCCTGAGTTTAGAGTTGAAAGGGATATGCAGATGCCTGAGTTGAAGATTGGTCATCTATTTGGATCTTTTGACGATTTCAAGGCTGCTTGCAAGTCACATGCTGTTGTGCAAAGGAGAGATGTGAAGTTTCCCACCAATGATAAGAAGCGTTGCATCTGTGTGTGCTCACAGGACTGCGGATTCAAACTGTATGCTGCAAAGCTAAGAGATTGTGACACTGTGCAAATCAGAACTGGGAATCTGGAGCATACTTGTGGAGTTGATGAAGACTTACGAGCTGCTGCACCATCATTCCTTGCCAAGAAGTATCTAACTCGGTTTAAGTTGGATCCATCGTGGTCGATACCAAATCTCGTGCACACTGTGATAACAGATTTGAGTTTGAAGATCAACCGAATGAAGGCCTATAGAACTAAGCAGTTAGCTTTAAAATTGGTTCATGGCGAGGATAGTCTCCAGTTTGGGAAGCTTTATGCTTACAAGAAAGAGTTGGAGGTAAGAAATCCTGGCACTACAGTGATTATAGAACATGTTGAGAATGTTTTCCGGAGTATCTACATATGTTTGGGTCCAATCAAAGAAGGGTTCAAAGCTGGATGCCGAAGGGTGGTTGGTGTGGATGGGTGTTTTCTCAAAGCTATGCCTGGATGGCAGCTTCTTTCGGCTGTTGGTATCGATGGTGATGACTGCATGTACCCAATTGCATGGGCAATAGTAGAGAAAGAATGTCATGATACTTGGGAATGGTTCATGGCACATTTGGGAGAGGATTTGGAGATAGACGACTCACCAAATTGGACTTTCATGTCCGATAGGCAAAAGGTAAATTTCTATCTAACTTTTGTTGCTTGTTTCGTGGTTGTGCAAAGCAAGCTTCTCAATCAATGGTTCTGCCTGAAAAAAACAATTGTGTTAATTAAGTTAATATAACCGATAATACTCTAATAAAACAAGCATCACACAGTTCACATATACTCTAATAAAACAAGCATCACACAGCAGTGAACACTAAGATTGAGAGAGATGGGTTCGAGCATGTGGGGAAAGGAGTTAAATAATTGCTTGAATGATTTGTGGGACTAGCAGGATAAGAGAGTCTTGTGTTTACCTGGATTTACATATACAACACTCACATGTAGATGTCGACTTAGAAACTGATTTAGTTCTAGACCCTTTTTAGTTTAGCATATTATTGTGTCACTTTCTGAGATTCTTTCCAGAATGATTATTATCCGGTAGAGGCAAGAATGGACTTCCTGTTGTTGTTTTGGGTTTGTGTGGTTACTGTACGTTGGAAATTTTTTGTTTTCTTTCTTTCTTTCTTTATATCTTTGTGTATTCTATTGGTTTAAATGGAATGAAATCCCCTCCTCTCTTTCTGTTGTCTGTTGAGTTATTATTGTTATGATTGTATAGCTATAGCTAGCTAGTAACTGTGTGTTTTTGTCTTGCTTGCTTTTTGGATGCTAGGGTTTGATGAACGTGATGAACTCTATGTACCCAAATGCCGAGCATCGTTATTGTGTCCGCCATATGTTCGTGAACTTTAGTGGCAAGTTCACTAGGTCCAAGAAGCTCCGATATCTTTTCTATGGTGCTGCTGGTTCGACTTATCGGGCACAATATTTGGCAGTTATGGAGGAGATAGAGACAGTTGGGGAAAGCTACAAGGTTGGTGATCAAACACCATATCAATGGCTAATGGAAAGAGATAGAACTCAGTGGTGCAAGGCCTTCTATAGAACAAACAGCAAATGTGACATGGGAGTTAACAACCACTGTGAAAGCTTCAACAAGTACATTCTCGAGTCGAGAGACATGCCAATCCTCTCTTGCTTAGAGGACATATTTGGCAAAGTAATGAAGAGAGTTGCTGTAAAGAAGAGGATAATGCAGCGTCTAGAAGAGAAAGGAGTTCTTATTTGCCCAAAGTCCATACAGAAGATGAAAATGTACAAGGCTTGGGCTGCTTTTTGCTTCCCAACCTTCAATGGGAATATGGAATATCAGGTGCAATCACATAGAGGCAGATATGTTGTAGATATGAGGAATAGAACATGTGCTTGTGGTAGTTGGCAGCTCAATGGCATCCCTTGTCAACATGCAATTGCATGCATGAAAATGAACAACGATCCTCCGGAGCGGTATATGGATGATTGTTACCGTGTAGACACATGCAAGAAAGCATACTCTTTTGTTGTCCGGCCTCTCAATGATTCCAGTCAATGGATTCACGATGACTGCATTGAGCTTGAATCGCCTATATTTCAACAGAAGAAGAGGGGTCCTATACAGAAGAAGAGGCGTAAGGAAGCATGGGAGTTGGAGAAATCAAAGAAAGATAAGCGTGGAAGATCATACACAATTATGTCCAAAGGTGGAAGCGAGATGACATGCACAATATGCCACGAGAGAGGACACAATAGCCGATTCCACGACAAGGTGAGAATCTGCCCATGTTCTCTTTAACATTAATCTTCCGAAATCTGTTTATGGCCAATGGAAATTATGCTGCCATATTGACATTGTTATTATTATTTTTTTCCAGAAATTTGGCGGGGATGATGCAGCAGGTCCATCGGCAGCATCTCCTCAACACATGGCAGCCTCTCCGCCACACATGGGAGGCTCTCCAGTAGCTGCATCTCCTCAAGATGGCGAGCGTGCCGAGGGCTCAACCTTCATGCCTACTCCAGCATTTGTACCACCATCTGAGAACCCGCCTAGGATGAAGGTCACAGTTCGAAGGGGTCGTGGTAGGGGTCGTGGTAACAATGGTAGGGGTCGTGGCAGACATAACGAGTAGTTGAAGAACTAGCAGACATTGAACTTTTTTTTAGGAGCTGATTAGATCACCTTTTGTGAACATCTTTTTTGTGACATGTCGATTGCTTGTTGAAACTTTCATGACGAGCCAACCCATGTCAAGTAGGATCTAATCAGTTTGGTGAATGTAATCTACAATATGGATGTTTAAATATGCAGGTTTGATGTTCTTTGCTCAAGTTTTAATGTCCATTACAGGTCTCCATACCTGACTGAAGTCACTCTTACAGCAGTCTCTATATGCCATACCTTTGTGACCATTTTGTTACAATGACCAAACGATTGTGACCATATTGTTACACTGACCAAATGATTGTGACCGTTCTGTCTATTATTTATTAGTATTATGACCATGTTGTTGTCGATAATAAAGCTATATTACCATAACAGATAACATTGCAAACTTAGTTCGAAAAAACCAGAAACAGAATTACTGAACAAACTTAGTTCGAACAAAACGAGGATTTTCATGTTCTACACTACACATATCTACCAATAACGATTCCTACAATCACACAAACGACTACATAAACTAGATTAATTGTCCGTGCATACAAATCTTCACTTTGCTTACCCCTTCTAGATTGTTCATCGTTGCGTGCCGTCGATGAAAAAGAACTTGCCTCATTCAGCATGCTCTCTTCCCTTGATCTTATTTCCATGCTCTTAATCTTCTTCAACAGCCCATTTATGACAGCTCTGGCCCTAGCTTCAACTGGAGGATCGACCCATTCAAAAAAATCACAGTGGTGGGATAATTTCTTCATAAAATGAAAGAGAAGAGAATGGTTACCAAATCTTCTTATGGTGAACACAGAAATCAGAATCAAATTCAAAATCCTTACCAAATAATTTCTCTTGCAGCGGAGGAACCTTCTACCCGGATTATCTTCCGTCCATGATGTCAGCAAAACAACTCTGTCTTGACACTTGCAAGTAGGCAAGGAACCCATTCGGCCTGTGTTGATCTCTGGGATTTTAGGGTTTTTTCCGTTCAAAGGAAGGGGGAAGGGGGAAGGGAAGGGGGAAACAGAGGATGAATAATGGAGGTGAAAGGTAAGGGTTTTGTTCTTATAGGGGGCGTATCTGGTCATGAGTGTGGGTAAGGGTCGATTTCTGAACCGGTTGAAGACTCGGGTTAAGTGAGGACATTTTTTTATTAATATTTACACTGACGTGGCATGCTGACGTGGCGATCTGGGACGGAATTTTGGACGGATTTGGACGGATTGACCGTTTCGTTATTTGCTCAAACTTTATTTACCGAAACGTGCAAAATTAAAGAATTGTGACCATTTTGTACAAATTGAATAGGTTTGTGACCATTTATGATAACTACCCAAAGGAAGTTTGCTCTGGAGTTGTTGGATGAAGTAGGGCATTTAGGTTCGAAATCAGTTACCACCATTATTCGAGTACACATGATGGCAGTGATCTATCTGGTTGATGCCACTGCCTATTGTAGTTTTGTTGGTAGCTGATCTATGTAGCACAAGACCCGATACTAGCTTTTGCAACCCAATAGTTTAGTCGGTTTATGAGTGCACCTTCTGTTATCTGCAAAAGAAAGTAACCAGAATCTTGAGATATGTCAAGAAAAATTCAGGTCATGGCTTGTTCTTTCCACCACCTTTATCTTTCACGCTCCAAGTTCCCAGTGACCTAGACCAGATGCTTGTCCAAACACATGAAGATCCATTAATAGCTACTATGTCTTCCTTGGTAACTCTCTCATACAATTATATAATTAATTATTATTATTATTAGAATTATTAAATGACAAGTAATCAAAAAATAAAATCACTGTTTCATACGAAAAAACCGCTAAACTTAAATCAATTGCTGAATTAGACTTTTCCGGGTTCATGTTGGTGATTTTTCCCCTGCGGCAGGCCCATGATATCTCCAATAGTCCCTCGTGCGACAAACAAAGTAATTTAGTGTGCTAAATTCCGTCCGCCCAATAGCCAGAGACAAAGGAAACGGAGATGATTATGTGATTGGTACTGACAATTGAGAGGAAAGTTCTTTTTTTATTTGCTTGAATTACCCTTTTTTCCATGTGAATTACCATTCATAATTCATTTATTTAACATTCTTTTCTACAGGGTATATAAGACTCATTGTTAGGAACACTAATTTATTTAGCATTCTTCTCTACTGGGTAGGTAGAAACTCATCTAGGAATTTAAAAAATTCTTATATTCAAAAATTATGATTTCTTATTAAAAATTGGAATAGTACTAGATCTGTTTCTACTTTTTGTAGCGAGTATTATTAATCGGATTTTTTATACTCTACACTTAATTTTATCATAAGCTTTATTTGCCTACCATAAGTTTTCCATCTCTTGCACCTAATTTCACATTAAACAAAACATACAACATAACAATAATTTGTATAACTTCATTCGCTTATTGTTTACTTAGATTCATTTAATATCACTTACTATATTCAACATCTCATCAATTTGCATGTCACAAAATAAAGCTTATGTAAGATAGGTTAATCTTATGCAATAGTCTAATCAAATGTAAGTATGTAAATTGATTCTCTTATTAGACCACACGTTATGGAAGATTACGTAATACCGTTCTATAACTGTTATTAAAATACAATACGTAGAACTTAAGAAAATTGAAGGGATAGTTAATTTCTTATGTATCATCAAACAAATGTGTTACACAAGCTTTCCGTATAATTATTGCATACAACTATCTCGATATTTATTAATTCTTTAATGAACTTTTTTATACTCTACAACCAATTTTACCATATGCGTTGTTTTTTCCCATAGTCAGTTGTTTATGTAATTTTTTTGTTTTCCATCTCCTCGCCAAGTTCACCATAAGAAAAAAAATTTACCTTCAAAGTACTTTTTATTTCACATTAAGAAAGATTTACATATCACATAAATATTACACAAAACTTATAATTAACTACAATGCTCATCATCGCATCCATTTGCATTATGCAAAAATTCTATGTGGTAGGTTAATTTTTTCATTGTAGTTTAATTAAATGTGCTACTTTCCATAACATAATTTTATTATTAAATCATACACTACATAATATTTATGTAAAAATATTATATAAAAATTACGTAAATTTTATGTATCAATTAAACAAAATGTACAGCATAAGTGTTAATGACTCACAAAATACGCAAACTTTGTGGAGTGACAATAATTTCTATAACTTCATTCTCTTATTGTTTACTAAGATTCATTTAATATCACCTACTATATTCAACATCTCATCAATTTGCATGTCACACAATAAAGCTTATGTAAGATAGGTTAACCTTACGTAATAGTCTAATCAAATGTAAGTATATAAATTGATTCTCTTATTAGACCACACGTTACGGAAGATTACGTAATACCGTTCTATAACTGTTATTAAAATACAATATGTAAAACTTATGAAAATTCAAGGGATAGTTAATTTCCTATGGATCATCAAACAAATGTGGTACATAAGCTTTCCATATAATTAAGATATTAGGTAAAGCTTATGAAAGAGCTTTACTTTATTTTTTTAATAATTTCATTCCAACTAAATCATTAATGAGTGCATAAAAATTTATTTAAAAATAATTAGTTCATTACCGCGGCAAAACGCGGGCCAAAAGACTAGTATATTATTATTATACCGCAAGTAACCAAATTGTGGATTACTGTTGCATACGATAAAAGCGGACACTTCCTTTTTTTTTACCATAACGATGCCTTAATTACTATTCATTAGTTTTTTGTTTTTGTTTTTGCAATCGTGGGCGTGTGTACATACTTGGCGGCTAACAAAGCGTATCAATCCTTTCCAATTTAGTTGGGTGCCTCTGTTTTTTTAACCATTCTAAATGTGTATATGTAATAGCCTCTCAATCTTTTTTCAATTTCTTTATTGTTAAATTTATACTACAATATTAATCATATTATCGATTTTCATTAAACAAAAGTTCTAGATAAAATTTTAATAAAGTATGATACTTTTGACAACTTGATTTTATTATGCCACATATTACAAAAGTTTTACTTAGCACTGTTCCATAGGACATGTTAACTTTTATATGATAGTTTCATCAAATGTGATACTTTTCATAACTTGATTTGTTATTTATGTAGCATGGTTGCACATGGCAAGTTAACTTTTATATAATAGTTTGATCAAATGTGATACTTTTCGTCAATTGATTAATTATTAGACCACACATTAGGGAAGATTTACGTAACACCATTCTATAACAGTTAAATAAATTACACATACATTACGTAAAACTTATGAAGAGATTATAAGTTTGAACAAAAATTCATTTATTATTAACTAAATTGTTGATAATCTCATCGATATGTATAGTTACCCAAATGTTAATTTTTTTTGTAACATGATTTTATTATTAAACCACACATTACGAAAGATTTTATACCACCATGTCATAAACTTTATGGAGTGATAAGTATTTCTTTTGCATCAATTAAACAAAAGTAGTACGGAAGTCTTCTGTAATGAATAATACACTGCTGAAAATTTATGGATGCATGTTATCGAATTGTTTTTTGAGTTATTGGATTTGAACTAAACCATTAATTGAATGTATGATATTTTAAATATAATTGGTTCTTTACCCAGCAAAAGTACAAGCACTTTTCACTATTCATTAAGAAAAAATAGGCTATTTTTTCTCCACGGGTACTGTTCACAATGTGGTTTTATGTCATATATCCAATTTTACCATAATCTCATTTTTTTCTTCTTTTCAGCAATACTATTAATTGAGATTTTTTCTTCTTTTCAGCAATACTATTAATGAGTTTTATCCCTTACAACCAATTCTTCGACAAGTCTAAAATTCATGAAATTCTATGATAAATCTTTTTCTCTACATCCAACTTAACATTATACAAAAATTTGATAGATCGGTTATTAAATAAATAATTATGAACTAAAATACTTATTTTCAAAGTTTATTACTAAATTCCGTTATTGTTAACTAAAAAATTTAACATCTCATCAATTCGCACTATGAAAGATTAGTTAACATTCACATAACAGGTTTAATCATACGTTACTTTCTAAAATTTGATTTTATTATTAGACCGTATATTATAAGAGATTAATGTAACAACGTTCCTAATAGCTCTTTATCTCCTATATCCAATGTTATCATAAGCTCTTGATTAATTAACTTTGACATAACTGTTAAATCATATGCTCTTGTCATGTTAGTTTCTAAAATTTTATATTATTATTAGACCTTACATTATGAAATATTTATGTAATACATTCTATAACGGTACGTAAGCCTCATGTTGAAATAATTATTTACTATGTATAATTTAAACAAATAGATGTCGTATGTTAATCGTAATGAATGATTAAACATTACTTAAATCTTATGTAAAAATAATTATTTGCTATATATCACTTAAGCAAACGAATGATGTATGTGATTCGCGATGATTAAAATATGTGAAACTTACATATGTATATTATCTGGATAATTGTGAATTATTTGATTGAAACTATTAGTTTCTTACTGCGGCGGAGCGCGGACCAAAATACTAGTGGATATAAAAAAGCAAACCACTATATCTCGTAATTCATGTTAAATAAAGTATCGAGTGCTAGCTTAGATAACAATTGAATTTTATTGGCTGCTTTACCTTCTTTATACCATCTCAAAAAATAAATGTCTTTCCAAAAGGTGAAGAGAGTTCGATATTGTTTTGTTTTTCTTTTGAGAGTCGAATGAAAAGAGGACAGAGTTTTAACAAAATTCACACCAGATTTAAATCGTCAATCACAAAGTGGGTATAACTCACTCCCAACCCAAAACTCATTAACAATAGGGTCATCCCACTCTAATCGTGTCAAATTAGGACACCCATCCATAAAATGACATTGTTCTTTTTTTGGGGGATCGGATGAAAAGCAGTCTGAGTTTTATCAAAATCCACACCCAACGATCATAAAAGCGGGTAAACTCACTCCTGACCCAAAACTCATCAATATCAAGTTAACCTGCTTTGACTGGATCAACTTTTATTTTTATTTTTTTAGGTGCGGGTCGGATGGAATCTGGATCGAGTTTTTAACAAAATTCACACATGACCAACTTGTCATATAGAAAAGCGGGAAAACTTACTCCCGACCAAAACTCGTCAACACTAGGTTCTGCTCGCTCCCGAACTAAAATTCGTAAACACCGGATTCAACCCGCTTTGTCTGGGTTGATTGTTTTGTAATTTAGGTGTGGGTCTGATGGAATGTCAACCAAGTTTTTAACAAAATCTACATCAAACCCAACTGTGAATTACAAAAGCGGCTAAATCTCGCTTCTGAACCAAAACTCATTAATACCTGATTCAACCCGCTTTGAACGGGTTGATTGTTTTACTTTTTAGGTGTAGATCGGATGGAAATTGGACCGATTTTTTAACAAAATTCACACCCAACCCAACTTATCAATTATAGAAGCGCTTAAACTTGCTCTTGTCTCAAAACTCATCAACAACGATTCAACTCCCCTTTGATGGGGTCAAATTGGGGTTTGCTAAATGTCGCC